TTTAGCACGAATTGAATCATCACTTTGGCAGTGGCGCATATTTTATTACGTTTCGTTCATGAATTAACTCGAATTAAATCATAACAAAATTGAATTATCAACGAAACAGATTTTGCCTTACGAGACTCTAGACTCTATGTTGTCTGCAGTTAAAAATTATTTTTGCGTGCAAGCAAAATCGTGGCTCATTTAATAAATACTCGCCTTAAGCACTGTGAAGATAAGTTCAATTTAGATTGGAGATCATTTCTAAAAATATTTGTGTAGAAACTTTTAATTTAACTAAAATAATATAAAGTTAATAAAATTTCCGAAGTATGTCATTTTTGTATGCGGATACTCATTAAAAATTAAAAAATCGTATTTTTTGAAAAAAAATTAATGAAGATATGTTATAAATTTATTTACATAAATAAATACATATAATCTTGTAAATTACATATTTGGAAAAGTTATAAAATTGTTATTGCAAGTGAAATAAATATAATTATTTTCCATTTGTGGAAATAAAATGTTAATTTAAAACGATATTAATAACAATATTCCAAATTAAACTGCAATGCGTTTGTTTGTTTATGACAACGAAGTTAGCGTAGAACATTTTCAATGTTAAGTTTACATAAATCGGGTTTCTGTTAAAAATTAAATTTGTAATGTTAAATTTTTAACTGTTAATATGATTATGTTAAATTTTTAAGGTTTAACAGTACCATTATAATAGTACTAAAATGTTTTGTAAGATATATAATATAATATATTTAACAATTATATTGTATAATGCATAAAAATAAAAACTAAAGAAAAAATTTATAATAATATTAATAAGTCGACTAGGTACTTTTATATTATAAATTTCAACTACTCGAATGTGTAGCAATCTCATAAGAGAAATGGTTGGTTTCTACCGCTCTATGGATGCTTTATAAAAATAACTTTTAAACAACATACATATATTTCTAAAAAATTGTTTGCCTTTATGTACAATGTGTTACAGCTTTCGATTTATTATTTCTTAATCATATTTCCACAGCAGCTAAAACTACTTATGTTAATGAAATTAGGTTTTGGTTGTTTCCTTTGGCATTAGCTGATTTATGCATATGAATTAGTTCGTTTAGTTACATTTTACATATAAAACATGTTACAAATATTTAAAATTTTGGTCAAATTTTGTGGGAAATTTATGTTTAAGGCTTACATTCGATATTTTTCGCCGTAAATCCTCATTAGCGGCCTTAATGAGCTAAACTGCCTAAATGAGACAAATGGTCACATGATATTATATTATTCCGTTGTTTCATATGTTATTTTACTCTTATTTATTCTTATAAACTATTCTTATTTTTTTTTTATTTATTAAGGACGTGTGCTAGTTAGGCTAAGTTGAGATTTTTCTTGGGATTTTTCGCATTGCACACATTTAGCCATTTATCAATCGTATCGTATCGACACATCACTACTTTATCGGCACAACTTAGAATTTCCCTCATTTAGAACGCAACTTAGCCTAACTCACACACGTCCTAAATACCTCTTCAGAGTCCAATTACCGAAACCAGAACTAGTCATGTTTGTTAGGTCATTCGTAATTAGCACAAGATATATCGTTAACATTCCATATGCGCTAATGAGCTCGCTTCAAATTAGAAATATCAACTCTAAAGATGATACATCACTGTACAGAATAATTGCTCACATGCTCATATCAATTAATGCTCTTATTATGCTTATATTCCCTAAATCTGCCTTAACAAATTTATCCTTCTTTAGTATTATTTACAAAATAGAATAAAACTATCTTAAAATTTAGAATATCCAAAAATTTTAAACTTAATTTTATCATGTATTAAGTTCTCTGAAATTAAAACATTTGGTTCTTACCAAAGAAACAATTTTTTTTAATTTTTCTGTACGTTTGTTGGGTATTAACAAAACAACAATGAAACCGGGGAATCACTATACTTATTTTTTCTTATTCGGCAACTTTTTTGTTGCCAAATACCCATCATCAGTGGTCTTGGAAATAATTCTTATATTTACTTATTCGTAAAAAAATTTTTAAGACTACAAGTACTAAGAATCGACTCACGTCCTGCCAAATTTGAAGCTCAGAGTCAGCGCACCTTAACCAACTGACCCAAAGTCGTACTTGATTTTTATGTTTAATTATTATTTTAAATAAGTGTTTAATTATTTTAAATAATTGTACGTAAAATTGCAATAACAGTTTTTTTTTCACATATATTTTTCGAAAAAAAAAACGTTTTCATTTTATTTTTTTAGAATCTACACCTCACAAATGTAAAATAAATATTTGTATTTAGGCCATGTGTGAATTCAAGTAATTGATGGTAAATTGAGGGAAATAGTAAATTATGTCGGTATGGCAGCGAATGTTGGTATTTACCAGAATTTCGAGTAGGGTAAAAGTTAGGTAAATTAGGTGTTACCATGTAAAAATTTTATAAAATGTTTAATAAATCTATAAATAAATATGAAAACTTTTAACCAAAAATAATAATAATTTTTTTGCAGTGCAAAAAATCCTTAGGAAATATTAATTAACTTTACCTCAATTTACTCAAACTCGCAAACAGCCTTAATACATAATCACAAGCATTTTTAATTCCAGCAATTTAATGAATGTTAACATTTTATTCTGTTAATGTCTTAACAGCGGTTTATAAGTAACGCTGTTAGCAACAGTTGGAAAAGCTGTGCAGTCTAATGGGACGCATAGTAATCGGAAAACGAACCAAAACAAATCAGTTTGTAACGAGCGGTCTTTCGGTTTAAACGTCTTTTGTTCGTAAGACGTTTGTTTGCGCATGCGTGCGGGTGTCGGTTAAGCTTTATCTATTTCAAACTTGAGCATAAAACACTGAATGCCTATACATTTTCATTTTCAATGAACAGTGCGAATTTTAATGTGACAAATAAAAACTAGAAATAACATTTTATTTTTGGTTTAATGTGCCTGTTTGCATTTGATATTGATTCGATCTTGTTTTTTTAAACTTGGAATTTGTGTGTGGATCTAAATTTCGACTTTTTTCTTATATTTGTTAATTTTTCTTAATGAAAACTCGTTAACACTAAATTAATTTTCATTTTTCTATTTACTTTTAATTCTGCAGTGGGTGGCTGTGTTAAATAAAGAAAGAATATCTTAAATACATAATGCCTACGTTTTTTTTAAATGACAAATGCGCAAAATAATTATTCCACGAAAATTAAAAAAAAATAATTTGCAACAAATGAGAACTATAAATCCACTGGCAAATAATTTAATTTTATTAAACGAAATATTAATTTTAAATAGCTTACTGAATCATATGCGTTATTGTAACAAATTAATTAATTATGAATAAAATTTATAAATAAAAAAATATATATACAAAATAATATATATATATTTAACAACTTTTATAAAATAAAACTTACAGTGTGGAAATTTTATATTTGTAAAAAAAATCGATTTTAATTACATTTTCTGCTTAGAACTGTCAAAACTACTTTGGCATTTGAAAATTTTTGTCAGTCTAACCGCCCACTTGTTGCTGC